TACTACTATATATATATATATATATATATATATATATATATATATATATATATATATATATATATATATATATATATATATATATATATATATATATATGTATATTGAACTTAAAAGCATGCAAGCTGATGAAATTTAATTTTTCATTAAACCAAATCTTTTAACCCGTTCATTACTTTCATGATTTTATATTTGTGCTTTGAAGCTTTGTAATGCTCCAAAGAGCTAAGAAGGGATAGTCATAGTCTCAATTAAAAAGTTCTCTGATTTGATATCGCATAACTTCTGTATGTGAAACTTCAAAAGGATATTTGAAATGTTATAACTACGTTTTCGCTATGTACTTTTCATTACCTATTCCACCATATAAAATCCCTTGAAAGCCATGCAAATATTGCGCATTTTGCAAGCTGCAATTTAGCTTTTCCTGCTTAGAAGGGATATGCTGCAACTCAATAATTGGTATATAACATGGGATAATCTGTTTGCTGCCATTTAGTGGTTCGCTTGCAAATCAATCAACCATTCGGTAATTACGCACACATCCTTGGCATCTTTTCTGGGCATATTTGGAGTCCACTGTATGCAATAAGTCTCGTTCGTTTCATCAAATTTTTTCTGAGAATTAAATGAAAGGTCTAGGAAACGAACGAATGTCAAGTTTTAAGTAAGCTATCACGTTTTCACTTTTTAATTCACCGAATCATTTGGTATGTATCCAGTTCAACTGACATACCAGTTTACGGTAGTATTTTTCTCTTACAGACTTGATTAGTTGTTAATTTTCAAATTAAAATGCAAAATTGTCATAAAAATTTTGAGCATTCGTTACTAGCTCTTTAATGATGGCTGGACGCATAATTGCTGTTTATTCGTTTTCTAGTATTGATGTGCATGATGATAAGGAGATAGATGCATGTGGGTACGGTAAGTACATTTGATGACAACAAGGAAGGAACGAAAATGTCGAAGAGATGTCATAGGCTACTGAGCGCAAAAAGAACTAACTCTTTATCCGACCAATTTCATAATAAGATGGCAACAAGAAGAAGAGGGAGGAGGGACAACAGAAGAGTTAGAGCATGACATGACAGGATACCTCCGTGAAGGGGACCGAAGAAGAAAGCCGCCGTTGTCACTGCTCTTTTTCGTTGTCTTTCGAAGCAAGTCATGATTCTTTCCAATACTTGTCTTCAGGAGTCCGCTATACATATTACTCTATGAGGCTATTATACTTGTGCTTAGGCTCGTTGAGTTGCCAAAGCTTATAGAAGCCTGTTTGGGAGGGGAATGATATGCTGTAGGTAAAGAGGCCTAGAAATGCGATGTATTGATGCAATGCCTGAAAAGGCTCACAACAGAATAATAAGACGGGCCCAACTCAACCATATATAACAGCTACCTTGGAGATAAGCGCAGAAATAGACATGAAATGGCGAATTTAACTATGAATTGAAACAGTTATAAAAGAGAGCAATCAAAGGTAATTACTTCATCAACACTGCACCAGTCATTAACATGCATCATAATCATCACTTTGCTTATATCACTATTCTCATCATTATTATAATGACTTATTAACATTGTTATCAAACTCCTATCATCTTTAGCATTATTTCAATCAGTTCACATTGCAGTTGCTTTGAAAATATCTTAATCCATTTATATTACACATTATTTATGCCAACAACTAATCATCAGTTGAGCTAATGACTCTTAGAAGCTTTGTAGATTAATAACGCTCATTTCACGGTTCATATTCCAATGCATGGCGAGAAATTATTCCTTTGAATAGCTATTCATTATATTACTGAAAGCTTCCTTGAAACCACAACTGTATACAAACATGAGTTTATTAAATGTACCTTCAGTAAATTTACTCCATAAACTGTTAGTCATGAAGACAGAAAGAATGAAAGACTCTGTCATCACCTTCTTTATAAGGTCGAGACCATAAGAGTATTTAACAATCGATGACTTAGATGCTATGTGTGATTAAAAACTGGAATAATCACTCTTAATGATTCATATTTGATATGATCATCATACTACATAGCTGTGATTTCAAAAATGCGCAAATTATCAATAGTTTATGGAACAGAGAAGCTAACAAATTAGAGTATATTTTAGCACAGAAAAGAACGAATAAAATATAAAAATTGGTGGTATTCATAATTTATTATAACCAAGAAAAAGTAAAAGCAAAAGTTTGTAATGTTTGATGTAACTAAAATCGTTGAGATACGGTATGCCTAAACAATTTCATTTTATTTTTTCAGAAATTGCTTAAGCATGAAAAATTTTTACAAGGAAATTAAGAGCAGACATGAGGAATCTTTTATCTTAAAATACAACAAAAACCACTCATTTCAGGGAGGAGAAAATGATGCCAATGCGTTGTTGTTACTCAATTTGATCCGTCCATTGTCAAATTCTGAAAATAATTTCAACATACTGGTGCGATCAGTTCACCAAAAAGTTAGATCTTTTAAAATTATTGTTAAGAAAGAAAACATTCTTTTAATTATGTCTGCTTAATCAATTTTACATTTGTAAAAGTAGTGAAAGAGACGAATGAAGATAGAAAAAAGTTGTTTTTGTCGGGAAGACTTCAATTCCCGAGCCTTGGGTAAGTTTTATTGGGAATCGAATCCTTCTACCAAAACTAACTAAATCATTAAGTTTCTTCCAAGCATCAGGCAACTTCTGATAACAATTTAGGATTCAGTCAATAGCTTTAAACAAACAAATGAAATTTACCCTCCAAAAACTAAAAGGTTGCATCAGAATCAATAGAGGGAATAACGAAGGTATTGAATAAGAAGCGATAAATTAATCTTTTTTTTTTTTGTTTTGTTGGATAAATAACATTTGATCTGCTAAAAAAAAGTAAGAATTTAAGGAAATTATATTCTTAGATCCCTATCACAAGCGATAGCATCAAAAGAAATGATAATAATAGAATGATAGACCCGACTTGTTAGTGGTGACCTTTATATCTTAGTGCCATCCTATTTTCTGTTTCCCGATGATATGGGTAAAGTGCATGCAACATCTTAATTAGTGGTGATGCAACAGTAAAGCATTTCTAATGAGTTGAATGATTGAATGGTTCAAACCTATCGGCATCTTTATTTCATCTACAAATATCTTTATGAAAAATAATTTTATCTCCTGTCAGGACTACAATATTTGCTTATTAATATACCTTAAATTATTTATTGGCTTAATTTTACCAAGTAAATTTTGTCAAATTGATTAATTGATTATGCAGGAGGAATTATAAAAAAAAAAGAAAAAAGTTATAATTTTGGTCATTGCGTAAAACCGGTATGGAGAAAAGTGGTTGGAAAAGATGAACAGGGAACAATAGTGGAAGTGAAATATAGTGAACCATTTTCGAGTGAAAAAACGAGAAAATTCGAAGACTTAAGAGAAACTGATCCGTTTTCAGTTAACATAATAACATAATTTAAAAAAAAAGCTGATAAAGAGTTCGGGGAGATACTATTAATAAATAACTTAGTAACTCAATCCATCCCGATTTATTTGACCGGTTCATTCGATTTGTTCGATCACTATTTGATCGCTCAACTCCGGTCGAGATCCGTCCAAAACTCATGTTTCACCAAGAAATACTCGGTTACTTGATCATAGATATGTTTTGTGTATATGTTTCTATAATCTTTTATACATACATAAGGGAGGCAAAGACGGGCATGTTGCTCCATTAATGAATTGTCAATATGAGACATAAAATGAGTCAGTCTATTCAAGGAGATAAGGAGATTGGTGAGGAAGGGATGAAGTAGGAGCAGGTTGCTTGGATTCCCAGGTGAGCAATCATCTGCATCTCAGAATCCAACAGTTCTTTGATGGGCAAGGGAAACGTTCACCCTAATTCGAAAAGCACCTGTCCTGCGATGACCTTCTCGAAAGCCTTCCTTCCTTTGCAAAGGAAAGAAAAGGAAACCTTCTTCCTGCCCTTATCCAAATGATCACTCTCCCTTCTTAACGAGCAAGCAGCAACATATGTCTTCCGCTTCATTGCAAACAATGTAATTAATTGTTCTATCAGATAAGGTAAGGTTACCGAAAAGAAACACCAATCATCATCATTAGCTTCCTTCTCCTCCCCCTCCCATACACCGTAATAGCATTCTGCTGACAGATTTCCTTTCTTTCAGTTCATCCGGAATTCTTCAAGGGAAAGCTCCCTCTGTTCATCCATTTCGGTTTTTTCATCCATCGTTCTCTCTCAAAAACATAGGCCTAATTCATCAACCAATCAAATAAATCTAAGATCGAAAAAAAAGCTGAAAATTAATCCTTGTCGATGACGATGCAAAAAGTAAGCGAAATCAAAAGTGTGGTTTCAAACGCTTCCTATATAACTTACCTGAGAATAATTAATTACACTTCAAATATATGTGTTTGGACGATTCCATATTCCTTTTCCACTCTGACTTTGCTTTGATTAGTTCCTGATGCTTTCCCTTACTTTCTTTAAAATAATCTTTGTTCCATTTCTTTGGTGTTATAAAAAGCTCATTACAAGGTATAACTTTATTATAACTTTGCCTTATTGTCAGCCATTTTTGCCACTTACAGATATGCTTGCAAACGTCTCGTGAAATTGAAGTAAACGAACGTTTGATAGCAGATCGACGGATCGAGATTGAGCAACATTTGCATGATAGTGGCAATGGTAATGATGGTGATGATGACGATGACAATATGGTGGCCGAGGATTGCTTACATATACAAAGGCGTAGCTCACAGAATCCTATCTCTTCGTCCATCTCCTTGCCACCATCACCATCATCATCAGCATCATCATCATTATCGTCATCGCCAGAATCGTCGTCCAGTGCATCCAGAACAACAGAAACAGCTATAGCACATCCTGTTACAACTAATACTTCTAGTAGTACAGCTAATATCACCACTAACAGCACTGTTCTACAACAACTACGACAACAGCAACAATATCCAGAAAGGTAAACCTTTTTCATTTTTATTCATCACTCACTCCTCCCTGTTTCTGCTTTGAGAGATTCCCCAACATCTGAAAAAAAAGAGAACACATTATCAGAATAATGTAGAATTTGGAAAAATTAGATTTAATGAGAGGACATGAGGTCTTAAAGATAATTAGTTAAATCTTTCAATTTTAGTCCAGTTAATGAGATAGCTATAAAATGAGTCCGGAATGAATTGTTGTTATCGAGTATTGTTGTACAGGTGCGAAATAAATCCATAAACCCTGATCTTGATGGTCATAAGCAATAAATGAGGATACATAACATTAACCAGAATTTGGCGAGCAATTTCATATTAAGAGAAAATAAGTTAGCCCAGAAGTGGTTGAAATTTGACTTCTCATTCAACTGAGTACTGTCCTTTAATGAGCTTGAACACAAGAAGATACATCTTGCTGTTCTCATTTTTCAAATTTATTTTTGTGGATACTTTTTAAAATTCTCTGTTGGAAAGAAAAGACTGTTGAGTTGAAATAGTGCTTCATTTTAATTCTATAATCCCGAAATCCTGTTTATCAGGAGAGAAGAAATGCGTAATTTCATTTTTTCAAAAAAATCAATTTCGTCTGATCTATGATGTCATTTAGAAGTTAATGAAGTTCAAGTAAACCGGAAACCGGAAGAGAATTTTCCAGTTGATAAAATTAGGTGATGGGGGCAACCACGATGCACAATAAGAAATATGTCGTAAAAGGTGGAGATGTGAGGGTATAACAGGAAAGGAGTATTGTTTTTGTTTCCTTTTAAAAGGAGGTGGCAATATCCAAAATTTTGACTTTTCAATTGAATTTTCACTTTCAAAATGTTCTTTCTTTGGAATAATTCCGGATGAAGTTCGTTCGAGTCCAATGACTCGAACGAACTTCATTATTAAACCTTCACTTTAAACGTGGAAGAATTCCGACTGTTGCTAAATGTCCGAAAAGTATTACCTTTTTTCAAACATACATTCAAACTGAAAAATATTCTTCGAAGATTGCTTGACAGATTTTCAATGATTTTTCATGTTTGGTAAATATAAAGTTAGATTTGCAGTTTTCTTTGGTTATACACTTTGGATTTGGTAAAAGCGATATTTATATTTCTGGCGACATAAAATATAAAACGAGTAACTGAGGTAGTGAATCGTAGAAGTTATTGTTAGCAATTAAAACCATTTTTTTCTTGATAATTCTTTTCTGGGTGCCTTTGACTAAACGATTGTATTTGACCCAATAGGAAAGCACAGGTTACATGGAGGAATTCATTGGTATCAAATCACTTTATGATTACTTCTGGTGATTCCCATTACTGAACAACTGTTTGCATTATCAAGTATTCATCCTACCAATTTTCACCCTGTCCCATCCTTGAAAACTGATGGCGCAAAACACTGTAAAAAGGAGTTTAGGGATTTGTAGACCGGCGGTATGGGAAATACAAGGAGTAACAGCCATCGTCATATTGTAATAGCAATCATTGAAAAAGTAGTAGGAGTAACACAGCAAGGGCAGTAATTTTCACTTTCAGTGATTGTCCTAGTGACCCATATTACGCCACGCACCCTGCCCTACCGCTCGACCCTTCCTCTTCCACGTTTTCCCCCGGGGATGAACGAAGAACTGCCCCTGTTTGGGATTGAACTCGAATTTTACCCCCTTGCCTCTTGTCCTCATCCCCATGAGATACGACCCGCCGACGGCAATGTTCAAATTTTGTGATGTAGAAGTATTTGAATGGGTGAAAGAGAGAGAGAGAGAGAGAGAGAGAGAAAGAGAGAGCGAATATATCTTAGAAAGATGACAAAGATGATGAAGAAATTAAAAAGACGAAAATGAAAATAGTCATTTTTGCAGTGCTCAACAACAACAGTCGTCATCAGCACAACAACACCATCAAGCAGCGGCAGCCTATCAGTGTCAACTTTGCCCAAAAAGCTTCTCGTCCGCAAGGTGACCAAATGAGAGTCATTCACTCATTTATTTATCATTCATATTTTCTTTGTTAAATTCACACATAAACACTTACTAAATTCCAGTTTAACTTCAAATGAGCTATTTAATGTTCAGATACTTTTCACCACTTACCTAATATAACCTCTCTGATCTCTGTAAAATTTAATGATAATTCCGCATATTTCAAATATTTATGAAGATGTTCAATTACCCTCACTAGCAGTTTTCCCTTAATATGATTTTTCTTGTGAATATGAAGTGTCCATGTTTCAGTTGGCACTTTTTTTTTTCCATTTTTGTAAAAGTTGCACCCTCAAGTAGTACATGACGTCTTTTGCTAATTATGCACTGCATATTGGCTATCAGCAAGTTTGACCTTTTGGAAGAGAAATGAAATAATTCTGTTGAATACAGGTCTGTTTGTCAGTTTGAAATACCAGGCAATAATCAACAATGAAAAAAAAGTTCCTTTCATTTCATAAATTCTTAGGAAAGTTTGCAAATGTTTGAAGTGGACCGAAGTAGAAATTTGAAATAACTTCGCTAACTTACCCCAACTTCACAACTTATATAACACTACCCATATGATGCCATCTGCTGCATTGCAGCAGTGTATCGTATCACCTAATTTTAAATATCTCTTCATATTGATGTAGGAAATGATAAGAACTTTTGAGGAAGTTAGAAAGATTCCGAAATTTTTATGTCTAGTTCATCAAATCCACCGATCAATAATATTTCCGAAAAGCTTAAATGATTACTGTATTCCCTGGATAGCATTATTATATCCAGGATTTATTATGATATAATATATCATTTGACGATCTGTCGCTTTTAAGCCATTTATACAATACGGTGATCTTTGATTCTTGTTACGTAATGGTTATTATAGTACTTAGACTTGCTTTATTGGCTCAGTTGATTCTCCGGATAATAATTGTTTAAGACAAATCAATCGATCAAGGGTATTCCGCTAACACTGTATATCTGTTAACATTGTACATTTGTTGGATGTGAACATCATTATTGATTGATCAGACTTAATTAACTTGAAAATTTTTTATTTTAAATAATAGCACTAAATTTGACTGACTTCGTTCTCTTCAATTAACATAAAAAGTCATCAGCTTTTATTATGAATAATTCTATTTGACAAATTTCTAAATTTCCAAACATGGCTAATTAATTCATTTAGCGGTCTCAAGCAACACAGTCATATTCACTGCAGTTCGAAACCATTCCGGTGTCACGTTTGTGATAAAGCTTACACGCAATTTTCTAATCTTTGTCGTCACAAACGAATACATCTGGTCAGCCTTTCCTAAACATCAAATTTAAAATTTTTTAAAAATGAAATAATTTTTCAAATCTGACGAAAATACTTTTCTAGCAATATTTTTTCTTCACAGAATTTCCAAACAGAACTCCAGGTGTAATTTGCGCAAAAGTATGGTTAAAATGATAAGCTTGTTATTTCTGCCTTCCAAACAGAAATTTCTCCTTGAAAAATTACAGCTACTGAATTTCAACTGTATCATTTGCACACTGCTGGTCATTAGGCTATCTTTTTGCATGAAACAAAAACTGACCGCAATAGTATTAGAAACAAACTAATAGCAAGAAGCATAATGGGATAAATGTGTAAGTAAACTAATGTTATGGAAGAAAACTGTATCTGAGTTAGCTTAAAGCATAGAAAGCTATTGGACATTTTTATATTGCATATTGTAGAATTGGATAAAAAAAGTATATTTTGGATAGAAAAGGAAATTCAAATTCAAATTCTAAAATTTTCAATAAAATTATACAGAATTTTATGGCATATATTACAGATATTTCAAATTCTACAAATATTGCAACTTTTACTCTCAGAAAATTTTACTTCATTTATCAATCGTAACATAAAGATTTCCTGCACGACGAGAGTTTTCCTTTCTTGAAGGACACAAAGTTCGCAATTAAGGAAGTTCACAATTAAGAAGGAGATAAGAAAAAGATCAAAGGAGAATATGCTTTCAGGAAGGATGGCAATGTCAATACTGTAGTGCTTCGTTAGCTAATCAATCAGCTCTCATCAGGCATAGATCCATATGCGAGCCACAGATGACCGCACTTAGCGCATTCTATAAGCCTATTGGTAAGTTTCGTTCAGCCAAGTAGTAATGCTTTTGACGGATCGTTTGAACTTCACGAAATCCAAAAGGCGTACTGCAAATACCCTTTGGTTTCTTTACAAGATTAATGCTTTTCAAGTCTTCTTTAACTTTATTTGTGAATTTCAGAAAATTTCTGGCTATTTCTGTCTTCTTTCCATTTGCGGTAATTTAGGTGATTTACAATAGAAAGCTGTTGAGATAGGTAGTGAGAACAGGTTTTCCGGATATAATAAGTATGAATAATTGGGAAAAGAGTTCATCAAATTATGAACCATCTCTTTCTTTTCATTTCATTCACAACTGTAGTGTAATCTCTTCGTCTTCTTTATCTTCCACCGTTTTCGTCAACTTCCTCTTTTCTTATCTTTTACATTCTTCTCAGCTCTTCTTGCCCTTTGCTCTTATCAAATCTCTTTGTTTCTCTTCACATTTCAATATTAATTCTCATCATGTATCCAAATATTCTTGATTTCGTCTTACTGACGCAATGAATACCTTTGTAAACTTTCCTTGATAGCAACAGTTCTTCCGAAGGAAAAGTACGTAAAGATCTCAGCAAGAAAGAAGTCAAAAATATCGAGGACGACACCACATACTTTCTAAGCTTCTCATTCTAATTTACCTTCTAACAGATAGCCTTTACTAATCGCTGTCAAAGAAACAAACATATAGCAGTGATAGAAACAAAAAAAGCACAGAGAACACCTGCCTGAGATAAAACTTCTCTCAGTCTTATGATTCCCCATAACTCAGAATGGTAAGTATGAGTTAAGAAGTCTTATAGCTCTCATTTTATCAGTGAAAGATTAAACATTCAAGTCATTTTAACAGCGACGCAGCCTCCATTGCTCACAGTACCATCTCATTATTGGTCTCGATTGTTACAAATTGCATCCACTCAACAAGAACAACAACAACAACAGCAACAAGAACAACAAGAACAAGAACAACAACAACAACAACATTATCATCAACATCATTCTCAAGCAGTACCAAGTTCAGTTCCTTCAATTGCCAATGCCCTATTTCCATGGAAGGATGATTATCATACTATCAACGGCTCTGATGGCGAAAGTTCTCCTGAAAGCAGGTCCGATTGTTTTATTCAACTCTGGTCGACTGATTTTCTTTTAAATTAATTTCATTTCAGTTCCATTTGTAGAAGCTGTAATTTGCAGTTATTGACAGTCATAGTATAGTTTAGGTATTGATGGCAACTTGTTTTTAGCTTGACCCAAGAGAACGAGTCAATAAAACTATGGCAGTTGAACTTGGGACAATTTTGACATCAAGTTCTCCCAACTTTTAGACAATCAAATTCCACATACATTTCAGTGAACAACCATCGGATCCATCGCCGACTGAACAAAATACAGTCCACATGGTTCAAGTGATGATGGCTCGCTGGGTGATTTTGAATTAACTCCTCTGGATCTATCTATGAAAGCATCTGGAGCTCGAACAGCACTACCAGCGGTAACGATGCTAAGCACAACACCGCAAATTGATGGTAAAGTTGCGGTGACGGAACGATCAAACGATGAAAAAGACGAGAAAAACGTAGAAAATGAAAGTGATGAAGTATTTGCAGGATCAGCAAGCCAGAAAGACGGCTCAGGAACAGAGCATGAGAATATGATCGCATCCACGGAATCAGCAATACTACCCAAGAATCTTGGCAAATTGGATCTAACCCCAGCAGTAAATCCCTTTTCCTCCACTGCTTTCATGCAGATGCTTCGTCGCCCGTTCACCTACCCGGTTGTTCCCGCACCTACAACAGCTACGGCAGCTAACCGTTTGAATCCCTATACACATTCTTCACATCATTCAACACCATCAGCTCCTTTACTCTCCAAAACTGCACGTGATCGATATACATGCAAATTCTGTGCCAAAGTTTTCCCACGCAGTGCAAATTTGACACGACATCTTCGAACACACACCGGTGAACAGCCTTACAAGGTAAAAACCTCACCGATTATAGTTCATACTTTAAAATTGCTTATGTTACAACGCAACTTTACTAACAACATCATCATTGCTGACGCAGAATGAGTAGGAAGATGTTCCGGTTTGCTGGATCATGAAGGCTAGGTTGAGTTGCAGCTGCAGTTATTCCACCAAACTATTTCTCAAATAATTCTTAAATCCGAAAAAGGAATTCAAGTTGCAGTCCATTTTCTATCACACTACATCTCGTTCATTGTAATGTTGAGCTTTTCATGAATTTTACAATCAGAATCGAAAAGCTATAAATCGCTTTGATTTCTCGACAAAAACTTGCATGAAAGAAGCTGCTAGAATTATGTCAATAATTGTGAAATTATTCCCAACTTTAGTAATTGCTTTGTAAATTTTCTGAAAATTCGAAAAGTTGACAATGCTCATTTTGTGAAATTTCCGCAAAAAGTAATTCCACTATTTTAAGAGTGTGTAGTATCTAGCCAGCACCAAAGTAATGAATAACTGTTTATCTGTTCAAATGAAGGAAATGATGATGAATGAATCTGCGGATGACATTCATCCGGGATTCTTAATGGTTACACTGTTCCATCAAAGGATTCAGTAACAGCAATAGCGGGAGTGATAATCTGAACATGTTTTCATTGACATTCATTTCTAAACTCGGCCTTCCTGCAGGCATCGGTGGACCTTCAGTTTTTCCACTCATTTAATTTCGAGAGTCGTATTTCTTATCAATCAGTCATCATCAGCTGCAGTGGAAGGACGGTGTAAAAGTGAAAGTGTTGCGCTGGAATCTTTAGCATAACAGGCGGGGTCAACTAAACCCGTGCTCTCTTCTCTTTTCTTACTATTTAAAAACTGGTTTTGTGGCAATGTCCGCTGGCGTAATCGGCGTTTTCCGTTTTCCCACGAGGCGATAAATGAAATCAGATCGAGGCTGATCTACGTTAAAAGTCGCTAACATCGTCATCAATGTGAATCGAACTATGAAAATTCCATATTATTGGCGTAATTTATTGAGTGCATATAATGTGCACTTATTCAAAAACTATTTGGCATCAACTCTTCCAACCTCTTACATTTGAACTGTCCTTATTTGATTGTGGTTGGGATGTCCTATCACTCCTTAACAGATTATGCCAGAAAAAACCTGTAGCTCAATTTCCCATGAAACAATGAGATCTATTTTTTCTCAAAGCTTCACTGGTGGAGATGAATCTATGTATAGTTCAAATATCATGAAAATAACTGAAATATACGCGCTGCAAATTTATTTTTCCGCATGCATTCCCTAGACTAACAATTTCTCGATTAATTACACGGAGACACCAAGTGGAGAAAGTTCCACTAGAAAATTGAAAACAAATCAAATCATCCAGCTTATTAAGTCAGACAACCAAAATTATTATGTTACCTTCGTTTGTACGGCTGTTGCCAAGCGACTATACCTTTCTCTAAAAGTCAATTTATTCAAAAACTTCAATATTACCGTCATTTTTTTTAGTGTCAGTACTGCGATCGATCATTTTCAATCAGCTCAAATCTTCAGCGACATGTTCGTAACATACATAACAAGGAGAAACCATTCAGGTAATGATAATAAGTGTCAAGCTTGTCATTACTACGAGCAAAATATTTGAATTCCTTGTTTGTCATTTAGGGAGATAGTATTCCCTAATGATGGTGATACGTATAGTTCAGATGTCAAGAAGGTAGCTCATTTTTACCACTACATTGTTGATTACAACTGCTCTAAACTATCTATTACTTCATCATCTATTTCTATCACTCTCTATCATAATGATTGAGATTTATTATTTATTATCACACCACTACATTATTTCTTTTGGCTAGTAATCTTTGAAAATGTGCGATCGCAGTGAGGAAGAAGCGTAAGAAATTTATTGTCCCTTCTTTGATTTGAGCATCATTATTCAAAATATTTTCGTTGTTAATCATCTTTGCAAGGCTTCCTTGCAAGATCACCAACTACAGATCACCATCAGCAGCATCATTCGCTATTATCGTTTACACATTTCATGTTCACTGTTAATGACTTCAATTTAATAGCTTAATAATTTATTGCAGATGTGACCGCTGCGACCGCTGTTTCGGGCAGCAAACTAATCTAGATCGCCATACTAAAAAGCATGAATCAAGTGGTGCCCTGACGATTGCTGCCGCTGCTGGAGCTCTAGCAGTTCGTCGAGAACCACTGACCGCACCAATGAGAACAGCTGCCGTTGCATTACCATTTTCGGCTCAAAGCCTTTTTTCGCAACTAACACCATCCGCCCAACCTATTTTCTAAAAATATTCTGTAAAGTTTTCAAAAGTTCTCAAGAATAACCATATGTATTCGGGAAAGTCTATAATTTATCACCTGAAATTCGAGACAGACCCCTTCATTGTGCATCAAATCTTACTCTTATCAGACTTGATCTGATCTAACTGATCGGAGAAACTCGGCACTTACTACATTGTTCTTGCGTAATATATTTCGATTCACTCTTGTTTACGTTGAATTGAAACAACAGAACCAACGAATGGCACTTCCCTGTATAGAGATTTTTTGTTGTTTTTTTTGAAGACGTTCATTTAATTTATCAAAATTTTTTAATATACATATAACATATACGTTCAGTCTTTCGATGATCAAAAAAGGGAAACCGGATTACATGTGCTGTATTCATGTTTAATTGATAATAAACAGCACGGTACTTCTGCACATATTTCAGGTCAAGGAAAATACACCTTTTGCCACTGCATGCAAACGATCACTAATGTGACAAATACTGAGATTTCGATGAAAATTATGTTAACTATGTAAAAATTTCACTGCACTAATATAAATAAGCAACACAAACTTTGCGATATATGCAGTGATAGAATAAGTGAAATCTAGCGGACTTTCTCGAGACTGTTTGTCAGTTCCCACTATCCTAAAGCATCACAGACTGCGATACAGCAAATTCTATGCATCGATTTCATTAGTCAGTCACAAGATCACCCCGTGAACCGACATTTAATTTTTCCTTTACATTACTCCAACCTCCAATATATTACATATATTACTCCAACCCTACTCCAACCTCAGTCACTACCTTCCGTTCGGGCGAGAAACGCTTTCTTACGAATCACGAAAGAGATGGAAAATGTAGAGGTAATTCCTTCAAAGTTTTTCCTCAAAAAATAGTTCAAACTTTTCAGCTTAATCAGAATTCGCATAGGCAACATTTTCCCATGGTCACCAATTTCAGATGATAAGTTATTTTCTACGGTCTCAATTTGTAAGACCGTAGAAATAACTTATCACCTGGAATTTGATGAAACGCAGGAGTGCATTTTTCATTCATTCATGGTATCGCTATATCACTGGTATCGCTTTATCCTAACTTGTATATATTTTAAAGTTTTAACAAAACGAGGGTGCTTTTTAAACCGTTACATAAATGCAAAGCTGCATCAATTCGAACGTTATTTATCTCCGCCGACTGCCCACTGATTGATGGAATTGTGTGGAAACTTTCTGAACAATGCATTGAATGGATCTTAAATGCTTCGATACAGAAACTGAGAATAAACTACAAAGAAAAAGGGACAAAGAATAAAACCGAACAAAAAACACCTGGAAGCATAAAATTCCCACATTACTTCTTTGGAAACTTTTATGTTAAAAAGAAATATTTTTTATTGTTTATGTATTATGTACAGAAAAGAGGATAACACTAGCAACGCGGAATGATAATAACAATTTGGAATTACATAGCTAATTCAAGCAAGCCGCAGTAAACTGCTGAAGTCACTTATTGAAGAAATATGAAGAAAAAGTGACCTAAAAAATGCAAATTTCGATAGTTCCGCTAGTCTCAGAGGAACGCAAGGCCCCTTCTGCTCACATTATCCAAAATCGGTGACACCAATTTCCAGACATTTTCGGATATTACTTCAATCGGCAAGGAGGCATCCACTACCTTAAAATGAACACTATCTTAAATTGGATAGCTGATACAAATTCCAAGAATTTTTTAGAAAGTTCCCTGGAAAAGCAAGAAAATTCCCGGATTTAATATTTCGCACTCTACTCCGCAGCATTTTCACTTTATTCAAAATTGCTCATTTAACTTACTTTCCACAGATCCCTATCCTCAGCGGCCAACTTTTCCATGATGTCATTCACCTTTCCTTGGAAACTGCCAGAATCAAAGCGTTCATCACCAAATCCACTTCTTTTCTGCGCTTCCTCGAATGAAAGATTGAAGTATATAACACAGTCAGGTTTTAACTCACCCATATCAGCCAGTTTTGCCCACTCCATTGTTACGTTGTCAGCTCCTTAACCACAATAAACAACATGATCATAGAGAAAGTATAAAACTTCTCTAGGAAACCAATTTATTCGATTAATACTTCGAATTAGGTCAGACATCCTGAATGCTACATAAGTCTTAAGAAGTCAGAGTAAAAATAAAAATAGTGAGAATACCTTTTGCAAGAGTATAGGCAATGCCTGAATAGGCGTAGCGGTCAACGACCAAATGTGTTCCCTTCAGCAATTCTTTCACCATCAAGGGCATAAGTGCTTGCCGATTTGCTGCGAATACTAGATGCGCTTCTTTGGGCTCCATTTCAACCTCCTTTTTCAAATAACGATCAATAAACTTGCCTAAGTCGCTTGAGCGATCTAAAATGAAATCATTTATTTCGTTATTACCGCCAGTATGACCAAAAAGAACTATGGAATTCGCATGGAAGCCTTACCAGATGTGAAACGGCTTTATATCAGCAAGTCTTACGAATAAAGAAGAATCAATAACCAGGAAATGAAATCAAATCTACATTGCCGCCCGTAGCTTTGATACGTTCCACCAATTTTCTGGATTGCAGACTTTTGCCAACTCTGTCGCATCCTTCAAATACGATAAACGCACCACGCACCCGTGATCCCATTTCGTATAATTCCTAAAATATTAATCACTTATATTACTCTTATCACTGCAACTACTAATGTAAACGGAATACGACATTCATTGATAAGCAAAATTATTATCTTGGAAAATAAGTGGAACATTACCTATTTCAATAGAGTGCATATAAACATTAGCAGTACCGAGTAATGCTTACAGGAAGCAAATTGGGAATATAAAGCCTCATTCTCCAGTTAAGAAAGTAGTTAACGTGTCTTTAACGTGGCACTGACGTCTAGAATTTCTAGTAAGCCTACCAATAAAACCAGGATTCCTGTCGATAAAATCAGGGTAAATTGACCACCAAAACGAGCTCATCTTCTGTTTTTCGGAAATGCAGAAATACAGTACACCAAAAAGATCTCTGTTTAATATTCATTAAGATAATGCTCTCCTTTGCCTGCAGTGAATATCATCAGCCCGAACAACGAAATCTGTTTGCAAATATTAGAGATTAGAAGCAAAATAATTTTATACAGCGGTAATCACATTTAGAAAAAAATAAAACAGTTTCAAAAGGCTATGGACAATAAAGGTTATAAAAATGGGAATTACGAAGCCTGAAACTCTGAAAATGAACTTCTGTACGCAAACTAGGCAAATTTATTGTGAAAGCAGCAAATTTATTGTGAAAGCAGCAAATCAAGTACTTTACCAGATATATTCAAGGGATATTCAGCACAATAAATAATATAACTAGAACTATAAAACAAAATCTTAATGAAGAAAACAATTCAGAAAAAAAGATCAGAAATCTATCTTTTGCATCACCAGTGATATTTAGCGGCAGAAGCCGGAATTTCTTCATAGAAAAGTATTATTCCCAGAAGATAAGCAAAAAGAACGAAACGTACGAAAAGTCGCGGCTGAAAAGCAAAACAAATATACAGTCCCATTTCCAGCAAATATTGAACAATAATTAAACAGATCGTTTTCATAAAAAGAACAGAATTTTTATGTCGGTGGGCAAAAACACTGTTATTTAAAGTCCATACCAAACAGTTAATCCTACTCATTAATTTCCTTCAGTGGATATTTAATCCTTCACTATAAGTTAATCATGTTTATCAATCTGTTTTAATCAGATATTCGGTATTCCTGCAACTCCAGTAGTCATTGGGAAGAACTAAACACGCATCCTTCCGTAACTGGAGGGCAATAAAATCCACTGCAGGAATACTATATATAAAGAGAGAGAGAGAAAAGAGCTGATATATATATATATATATCCTCGAAATACCAGTAAAACTATTTATATCCCAAAATGACTAGAAAAGCAAAATCCAACCAAATTAATAAGATAGTGGTCGAAATAGTAGTGTTCGAATCTGTAAAAACTTTTCACAGCAGCATTTGCAATACCTCCAATGGACTTGTCACGACGTGAAAACCATGATGGCAGATCGCATAATTTCACATCCATCAATTTTATATCTTCTAAAACGCAATTCAGACTAATATATTTTGATATTCCGATAATACTTCCGTTTCATTAAGAAATTCTTACCATACTACCAAGGCAGATTTTTTTCGAAATGCATCATAAGTATACGGCAAATCAAAAGAATGCCTTAGAAGTACACTTATATCCAAAAAGAGTAACCGTACTTTTAATCCCATAATATCTCCACGGACAGTATGGACCATGAACGCGAGGATTATACCCCTTATCTTGTACGCCAATCTCGAAGCGATTAATCACACGATTGTACAAGTATACCCATACACGTTCCCAGAGACGACAGTAGGGCCGATAAATGTATACATCCCAATACAAATCGTTGCTGATTTTCGTGCCAGGCGGTAATGGTGGAACGAATGGCCGGAAATATTTCGTTACAGGGATTTTCGTTGCCATCGAACTTGAAAAAAGTGAAGATTAAGTTATGCAACTTTATAAAAACTTAGACGGGAATTCCAAATGACCTCTATATTTAATACCATCCAATGAATTCACCGAATCCTCAATCTCTACCTAATCCTTACATTTCTAGAAAAATGCAAACGTAATTGGTGCTCTATGATTGTGTGGAACAATAAAGTAAATAATAACTACTACATCTCAGAAATATCTCAATGATCATTGAGACAATGTCACAACCAAACGCTGTTCCGTCTCTTCGACCAGCTAAGTCACAAAAAAGTAAGCTGCCGATACCTTGCTTGACAGCCTAACTCCAAATCCCCAAAGCAAAAACTGCAAAACGACACAATGAAATCCAGTCCCCAAACTCCAACTCCACCAAAAACGAGGCAGCAGAACAAAATCAGTGGAAAACTGCCACCCAATCAATTGAACTCTGAACCAGTTGGTAGATATACACAAACTGCCAATACTGCGCTGTCGGACCCATGCATTTGTTGCAGCACACATTGCGAATTAAAAGCAACAATTTATCAACAAAGAAATGATGAACTGAATTCTTTTTTATAACACAGAATAAAACCAGAAAAAGAGAAAAGTAATATCAGCTATATGATTAAAATAAACCAGCAAACAAACACAAAGTAGACTGGGAGAGAGTAAAAAGATGCCATCATAAGGCTATGTTTTAATAATTAGAACTGAACCTGAAAAGTAACAGTCTTCAAAATTAAGCTTGTCAGAAAATAATCGAGATCACAAGAGATCCGATTATAAACAAAATATGGCTATCCTCGAAGTACTTCCAGTGTCCCATTCAATGCATTTAACCAAGCACTGCAAAGCTCCTTCGTGTCCGCGGATAACAACACACTGAAAACATAAGAAATATTCTCCTGCCTGCGAACGTCGCTGCCAGTTCACTCTTCTAAGTGAAGCTCCCTCTTAGCTATGCTTTGGCAATCTAAGTAACTTGACATGCAAACCGTTTCTTCTCTATAAGAGAGGGTGACGTTGAAACCAGAAGATCGACGGTGAAAGCATTCGGACGTGAACAGATTTCGTGCGGTGCATGGCTGATTTCTTTGTCCGTACATTTCGAAAGATCCATGCATGCAAGAGCTGGCTGAAATGCATTTCATGCAACAAAAACATTTTCAAAATCTTACAACATTGCTGTTGAGTGCTAAGTTATATAGAGAGAAACCTTTTCAGAAGCTTCATCGTCTGGATATTTCCAAAATTGTACTACACCACAACGTAGAACAGCCCAGTACCTAGCCCATGACCCCAATCCAGCTATTATTTGATACATAGTCTGAAATACAAATCACATACTTGATCCATTAAAAACGGCTTAACGCAAACGGAAGTCCGAAAAACTTGATCCCTATGGTTCTCACTAACTTGTGATCTATTAACTTACCAAGAATCCTCGGAAATCAATTTCAATAGTAGGAGGAAGTGTCGTGCAGCGAGAATCAATCTCAACTGTTCCCTCCAGTGGATAAACCGCCCCATCCAAATAGAACTTTTGCATACCAATCGTGTCCCTATTCAAGCAAATATGTCCACAGCATGTGAATTCGGAGAAGTCCACAACTGATTCATTACCACACGTTTTCTTAGCTAAAAATTAAAATCCGTAATACCAAAAGAATAAGCAAAACTGAAAGAGGTTTAAAATGAATTTGATAATATGCAACCAACATGGACTCAACAACGACTTCGCTTTATTCTTCAACATGCTGCATGAATAGTCATCCGACCGACGATTTTCACTGACTTTCTAAAAATTATTTCCTGACATAATCAATAATATGTGATTCCGGTAACAGAATGGGTAAAGAGGTAAAGGTTTAATGTTCCGAACTTTAAAACCCAGTGACAAAGGTGCACTGTCAAGCGAAGTTCAGAAAATAAGAACTGTTACAACTGCAGGCATTATTGCAAAACAAGATTATATTCAAATGTATCATCAAAAAATATCGAAAATGTTCCAGATTCAAAAAGTTGAACAAGAGAGAAACTGTTCCCTAAGTTATGTTTCTTTTTTTTTCAACGAGAAATGGTAGCAGCAAAGGTTCTAGAGAACTGCAAATATTACAAACAAATAAAAATTGTTACCAAAGCGTAAATCTCCAGTAGCACTGTAAAATCGACCGGTAGATTTGTGAAACGAATCTGATCAGAAAAATGAACTTTGCTGACACGCAAAGCTCGCGTGTCCATTAAAGTAACTGTTTGCGTAGCTTCTACTTGTTCATCAGTTTTCAGAAGGATAACGAAAGCATATGAAACGTCTAGATAAAGGTAATTTGTTCATATCAAGGAAATCCAGTGTAGAATGTTAAGGGTAAGAGTAAGGAATAGTAATAAATAATCATCCTAGTAAGATGAGTACTCTATTAATTATAAAAACAGTGGAAATCTCTTCATAAAAAATATCGGCACAAACCCTCATCAATGTTACGAACGCAAAAGTTGCGATTGAGATAAACGTTAATTGATGTAAGGTCAATAGCTCCACGCATACGTTTCGCTAGTGGAGGAACCGGTTCCTTTACAAGCCGACGTGTTTTCAAACGTTGCATTTCATTTCGCAATGCCAGAAGCCGTTCACGTGCCAGTAACAAACTACGCTGAGCGCTTAACTGTAATTATATCAGAAAATATTTGTACAAAATTCTCGTTCTAAAATATTTTTTGTTCCATTTTTTAGATTTGCTCAAAAATTTCTATGAAACAAAAGATGTAAAACATTTAATAATTTACTTCAAGAACTATTTAGCAGATAAAAATAAGCGTCTCTCATCTACAAGATGACAAACTAACCTCTACAAGAGTCCCATTAAAACTGCTGTTCTTCTTACAATGAGTTAATGCCAATGATGCCTGTGCAATTTGACCCTCCTGGATCATTATTTCTTGTTTCACTGTCTGCAATCCATACTCCATTTACAAAGGCTTAACAAGAGCGACCTTTCACAATAAATAAATGAAAAAACCTAAACAGGCAATACAATTACAACTCAGGAAATTTCGACTATTTCATCAAATTAAAAATGTGCTCCAGCTAGAACTGCTCCGACATCAATAACATGCGAACGATTAGGACTCAGGTAAACGAATCTACTTTTGTTAGGATTCAAATCAAATCCAAAACTACACCACCACTACCTGTAGCTCAATATCTGATTGTTGTAATTGAACGATTTCATGTGCTGTCGAAGCCGTTATTGAGGAAATACCACTTCGATTAAGCGCATAACTTGCAGAAGTGTGCAAACGACTATTACCTGCTGGTGAACCATTAAGAGGAGTGGAGGTAGCCATTGGATCCGTTGTAACCATTTGACCTCCAAGTTTAGCATTTTTCATCTACAATGGTCTTCGGTTCTACAGCTTATAAGTGTTTTTATTATTGTCGAGACACATACACTTATGATTATCACTACACCATATATGTTGGCAATCACCGGCAGGTGCATTAGGAAACACCATCAATCGTATGAGCCAAAATCATCAGACCGAGAAATAAATCTTTTATTTATAAATATCACATCCGCGGAAATCATAATACAATTTCAAATTTGCAGGACAAACTGAACTGTCCAAAAAATGGAGACTCAATAGCCCCTAATTTAAATTTCTGAAAAAAACCACTTTCGAGGAAGTTTCCAAATACCAAAATAAACTTACGACCGAATTTTTGTGTTCATAAGTTGTCAATAGTTCGCCAGCAGATGGGGGTGACGAATAAATAGCTGGAGAAAAACAAACAGGAATGTCACCATTTCGTGATTTATGGTGTTCTCTTTCCAAATCCCGGTACAGTGAAATCTGGATAAACTTTTGTAAACGCCATAAGCAATCAATACAGAAATAATAAAAAGGAATAAAGTAATGAAAGGTTTATAAATATCGCCAGAATATACAATAATTATAATAACACGTTTAATATTCTACATTTTTGAATATACAATCTAAACAAATGTAGTTGTCATAAAAATATGCCACTAACCGAATAGCTAGCTTTTGCAGGTGACGATGGTTTACCCAGAGATTCCTGTGAACACTGTTGACCAGGAGTTGCTAGTGACTGAGTCTAAAATATATTTGATCAAGATTTAATTTGATTATGAATTAATTGTGAGACGAACGATCAATCAAACCTTGTTGACGAAAGCAAATGCTTTTTCTACTTCAGCAACATGATCCTCAACTTCGTTATCAAGTCTTTCCCCACAAGTATCTGCAACAATATAAACACTATAATTTGTAGAAAAATGATATCAATGAATTTGGACAATAGCTAAAGAATAAAAGCGAATAGCAAAGATTGCATACGTTTTTGAGAACGGTCAGTAACAACATCCATGTGGTAGCTTGGTTTTACTTCAGGACTGTAATTCATTTGGCGAACCTGAGTTTGCATAGCATAAGAGGAGTCCCGACTGAGCATCTGCAATAGATCTTGCAATCAGTATAGTGGATTTGAGAAACTCATATAACAAGAAATCATTTATACATGTTTTTGAATAATCTATTCGGCGTTATGAATCCGCAATAAAATTACTCTGAGTATTGATTCAAACATCAAAACTTCATAATTTGGATTCAATAGGGGATAAAAGTAGCCATATAAGTGAGAAGAGGTGTGCCTATTTTTATCAACTGCTGATTTACGTCACATCCTTTTTCAGTATTTAGTGGCAGAGGTGACAACAGTAAAACATGGCATTTTTCTTCATTTATTCATTCAGATATCTACCAGAATGAGTAAATCTTTCTACCTCATTCGTCCCCCTGTTATACCTACTGTCGTAACGTTTCAGACTGGTTATTCCCTGAAAAATAATTTTTAAATAGCAAACGAGAATTCGAATTTCCCAACATTTTTATTGCGACGACATTAGAAAAGCCACACTTTTACGTGCATGTTAGACAAAAATAATGAATGAAAAATAACCTTGCGCAATCCTAATTCGTACTGTTGCTGATCCCAAATATTAGCGCAGCTCGTACTATCGTACAGTAAATTGTGCGAGGGACTTGCACGACCCGAGGATCCATTCCATTCATTTGATTGCCGTGAAAGTGACCTTCCAATACTACATACATTGTAGTTCGAATCAACAGCGTATTGAACATCCTGAATACTGCTGTAACTGGTAATACCCGGCACTGATTGTAACGTGCTCGTAACGTACTGTGAGTATCGTTTCTGATTCTTTGGTTTTCGTGGTGTATCAGTTTGAAATGCTCGCGCTGAATTCTGACATCTACTTGAGTCCGATGCGGATTCAAACCTAAAAATATCTGAGCAAAAAACAACAAAGAAAATTAACACAACAAAGAAACCAGAGAAATAAAATCCAACCGATTCACAATGCTGCGTACGCTGCGTGTTTCAACAACACACTTGTCCCTTGCAAGTCTTTCAAACCCATTTCTTTTGCATGGGATTGTGAGATCTAAATGAGTTCCATAGCTCCCCGAGTTTGTAGCCAGAGTAGACCGTTGTTGTAAGATTAAATCATCTAAAACATTGAACTCTTTTTCAGCAAGAAAATAAAAAGGATCAAATTACTTCCTTATATAAAGAAATGAATAGAATTGAGTTTGTAAAAAGTAATAGGTGAAACAAACCTCGAAAAAGTCCCTTCATATTAACTTCAGTCTCTCGATGATAGGTTTTATTAACAATGTTCGGCGGAACTGATTTACCTCGTCGTTTCAAATGATCCATCTCTCGCAACATTTCTACACTTGCTGCATCACTCATCGTTTCAAACAATGATGCCAGTTTACGTGTTTTACCTCTTGGCAAATGGTCGCTGTAAGTAAGAACCAGTATGCGACTCCCAATTACAAATGTTATTTAGTAATCAAAATTTAGTAATCAAAATCACTGCTGAAATATCAAGAATAAAAACAAGAATTCTTGTACGGAATTGCTTCTTTATATATTCTTTATTTATATATCCTTTATATAATTCGTCGTTACAAAATACTGGTACTAATAAGACTTGTTTATGCTTTCTCGCCAAAAAGATGATCTGTTCCTGACTATACAGCATACCGAATTGTTGAGCGGCCATCGCTGACCGATTTTTGTGTTGTTTTCTTATAACTATTTCCGCGGCAATATTCGTTCAGATTTTCCTTCAGTTGTTGATCTACAGATACACACTGCTGGTTCGCACCTACTATTGCCTTTTTATCCATCTGAAACAACTATAAAATTTCCCAGCTCCTGCAGATTATTTTCTTCTAATCAATAGTTGTTAGTGGATTCGAAAACCATCTGATAAAACTGCGTGTTTCACGATCAAACAAAAGTACAACTGAAGCATTCTACAACCAGAAAACCATGATATTTGTGGCAATACGGAATGGTATCATAAACTTGTCAAATTCATGACAACATTCCTTATTACGTACATTGTGTCACTAATGTATGGAAAGCAATTCACTTAAACAGCTAAAATCAATGATCTCTAGGCAATAGAAATGAATAACTTAGATGAAAGCAACCTCCGGTTCAACTGACAAATATTTTGAATGACGCAATGGAGTATCACTTTTATCAATCAGATCATTTAACTCGTTGGTTCTCTGAAAAAGGAGGAAATGAATTGTGAGGTCCGGTGTTTAATAACTCATAAGAACAATGTACTGTATTTTTAAACGAAGTGAAAGGAAAACAAGAGATGTAATGTTAAACATCTAAGAAAACGAACTGTGAAACTTTGAAAATTCGAAATTCTTTGTGTTGATTTTAGACCAGCGGATGGTGTTGAATAATAAGTGTTCAGTCGTTCCTGAATGAAAGATCCATTCTGACTTCCACTGTTGTTTAAACGTCGCTGCAGCATTATGTTCAGCACAGATACTGCCCGATTTGTGTCCTAAAATAGGAAAGCAAAGAACTAAAATGAAAGCGGCAAACTCGAAAGTTTACCTCTCGCGACTGTGTCACTACAGGTTCCTTGGTTTGTGAATACTGATCTTTGCGTAGAGTAACCGCCTGCTTGTCCTCACTTTCCCCTTCGTATTTGAAATGACAGGTGCTGTTTGGAAAACACTGCATTTCTAAGTGACTTCTTGGATAAATAATAGTGTGCTGTGTGACAAAGCTGTGTTTTTTCAATTCACCTTTGGACAGTTCCTGAAGAAGTCTAATTACGATGAGAAGCTAGGAACAATGTTTGCCGAAAAAACCAGCAAAGAGTATTTGAATTTAATTGAAATATTCAAAAAAAAAAAGTGTACAGGCTTGACCAGAAAAAAGATCTTTATTCACATGAGGCAAGCAAAGTGAATGTACTAATGTACATCACTGCACATATGCTTTTTCCTCCTAAAACAGTGTTCTTACTATCTCTAAGCACCAATAACTTCCTATGCCACATTTTCCCCGACCAAATACGTAAAGTAAATCAACAGGTACAGCAAAGCATTGAAACTCCGTAAAAACAAGACGCATACAAAAACCAATGTAATTTTTATTTGGTTTTCATTATTGTCATCCTTATGATGGTTGGACACAGAACATATGCTTAGGACCTTTGTCTTTTGTGCAACATTTGTTTTGCCTTTAACATATTCTTCACTGGTAATTTGTGTCCGGTTAAAATCACATCCTGACGTGTGATCGGTATCTGGTAGCATCATATAAGGCAGTGGTGCGTCCTTCAATGTTCTCTAAATTCTTTAAAAGATAGCCAAGATAGGAACTGTTCCTTGAAAAGTTTGTTCATCAAAAAAACTGGATTACAAAAATACTGGGCCCAACCTCTTCCTCCCCCCAGTATTATTCGAACTTCAGAGCCATGAATTTCTTACCCACCTCTTTTGCAACATCACTATTTTTCGATGTCGGTATATGAGGTTTCACAGAAGGAGTAACATCACCCTAGAAAATACATCTAAATAATACATATGAGTACACTTTCAATTAAAAAAATTTTTTAAATATGTAATCACTAACCCATGGAATAGAATCATTCAAACTTTTGTTGCTATGCGCAGGTGAAAGTGTAAGGTTGGACGATCGATCAGTTAGTGATATACAATCATGTGATTCACCAAGCGGTATTTTCTGATGCTCTAATACTGTTAGCAATATTTCGGTCTGAAAAGATTTGGATAACAAACCTTAACTTTTCCAGTATAAAAAAATCTCATTTCAATAACTATTAAAAATGTAGATTCCGATTCTCAATATAAGAAACTAATTCTTAGAATATCAGCATTGAAAAAATAATATGCATTAACACTACTAACATGATAAAACTAATGTGATTGGTATAGTAGTGTAATGCTCGTAAACTAACTTGATTGTCGTGGCTACATTTCGATGACAATCTAGTACACGATGTCAACAAATCGTTTTCAGAGAGTGAAGCAACCTAAAATCAGACTAATACTTTGACTATTAATAAACACAGGATAGGGTTGAAAATCCCGAATGCACAGTTCAGAGAAAAATATCGAAATATTTTCACTTACTTTTCCAATGTCAATTGCAGTGTTCATATCCTCCGTCGTTGTGAAAATCGAAGCACGATTACAGTTTTGCTGAAAAAAAAAAAGAAGGTAATCCTGGATTTTCTATGTTTTGAGTTTTTCTCTTTAATCTACTTCTGTGCGGTGTCATAAGTTAACACATGCAGTTCCTGATTAATTCACCACTAGCTGCCCTTTTCAGTTGAGTCCGATAGGCAAAAACCGAATAAATTCGAATTCCCAATGCAAAGATCATACAACGAATCGATAATCGATAAGCTATCATTTTATTACTCAAAATTTTCAACAAACCGCAGAGAGAGAAAGGCTTCTGCATCTTGACGCAAAGAGTGAATTAACAGATACTTCACCATCTACAGCGTCAAGACAATTGTCAGAGGCTCGATATGCTTTATTGTGCAAACCCTAAAAGTAATGAAGCTAAACAACTAACAGATTTTACTGTTCAAAGCAATGTTTTCAGCAATTTTCCCCAGAACTTTTATACCTTCTGAAAACCTGTCCGTCGATAATTTTAAATATTGACATAAAAATCCATAACTCTCTTTCAAGACTTATATTTGCTTCAGAAGTCTATATTGACTGCTACGTAAAAATCTCATGTCAGTAGCAGCTTCACAATTTCAAGCATTTTCGAGGACAACGATCCAAAGAAAGTGGAAGTTTTTAGCTTACAAGCTTGCTCATAAATATTACCCTACGTCTTTGTCCCGTAAACGTGATATATTTTTCATCAAAATTCCAAGCTCTCAGTTAAATCACCGGCAATGTCATGTTTGAATTTTAATAAACATTTCTCTGGTACTTTTATTAAAAATCTTAAAAAATCTGGCTTCAAAACGAACTAAATCGCGTCCCTATGACTTCTTGTCATAGTATTCAGCTTAAATAAGTGAACTGCACACACAGTAACAAGTGTACGTTCTTGCTTTGTTTTTGGGATATCTGCAAGGAAACGAAATGAAATGCAACGACTATTAGACAGTGTATCGGAATTACTGAATCACTTCTCAACGTACTTAGATGAGCAAGCGTTTTCGAAATAAAGACAGAACTTTCTGCGATAATTCTAAACCGTTTGTTTTATCTAGTACCTCTCTCGGACGACCCAAAACTCACCCAAATTTCGAATGAAAATGGGTTGTAAAAGTGTTTTGATGGAATGATTCCCGATTAATACACCGACTCTTTCTCGCGCAAAACAGTAAACACGTAGAAATTATTTCAGTATTTCCCTTTGATAGAAAAGCCGAACTCCTTCCGTCAACATCCCTAATGGTCAGTTTGTTGTGCTTCCTTTTTATTCAAACCATTCTTCGGGCCGAAAAGAATCGCAATTACACTTTGAACTTTGCAGAATATATTTCTTGATTTAGTCTGAGTTTTCTGCATTAAGAGTCGAAAAAAGTCAAAGCAATAAAATGAATGTAAAATTTATCAATTTTGACTGGCTAACATTATTACGTAAGCTTTTCTTAAAGACATATAAGCTCTATACTTCCCATATTGCTAGTTTCATCTGCGCTTAGTTTAAATGAAAAGTTATTCGGTTTAGTAAAAACACCGGAGTTGCAACCATGCATAGAAACTTCTAATCAACTTAGATCTACTTAGTGCAAAATTTTCGAACCGCAGAATCCGTTACTTTCATACAGCACGTCAGGGTGTGAGAGAAATCAAATGACACTATCAGAGTCAGTCAAATATTCACCTCAATGCGGGAATGTTCGTTCGATACAGAAGCAAGTTTCTGTCCAAATATACTCGAAGTTCGGATAATAGTTAGGTCAGAGTTTCCCTGAAATAGGAATCATCTTGGGGCAGTAATATTCCCCTATCACAATCAGATTTACAAGGCCAAAGGAAACTAAACAATTTATTACCCTATTGTGAAGGATTTCCAGTGATGTTGCGGTGTTTCTTGACTTACCAGAATTGGAATTTTGGGATTCATCAAAGTTGAGGTGAAGCTGAAACATTAATATATATGTTAAACATTTTGAATACGTTTTTACCTAGTTAACTGGCATTTTTGCTTTGCAGTCAGATATCCATTTGACTGCAAAACTCTACCACTATGAAATGAGGCGATGGAGGATATGTTCATGTTCTCCGCCAGTGTAACCGCATTAGCAACAACCAATGGGACTGTTTTCCTCCCATATAATGTGAAAGTGATCAAGAGGACGACATACGTTTCGCAGAAGAATAAAGAACTCTAAGAAATCAGACCAAATTATCAGATGAACTCATATTTAAATAGATCATTATTTTACCAAAACAGTGTTACCGAAGACCTTCGTTTCTGATTAAAGTAAATGATTAAAATCTGCAATAATCAGATAATATTCCTCCTATCAACATCATGTTTGCTTGAATGCCCAACAAATATTACATTACAAACCTGAAAACAAGAGCCCCACGATGGATCAGCATTAGCCTCCTTCGTCTTCCAACTGTGCGATTTGCTCACATTATACAACTGTAATTTTTCACCGTAACTTCGCCTGGCACAGGAAATAGTCATTTTCACAACCTTCGGAACTTGATTTCTTAGAGGACGGAAAAGGTGCGAAAGAACTTTCGGTATCATATAAGATATCATATAATTGCAATAAATGAAGTCGAAGAGAAACCGGGTACCGGTGCAACAAGTCCAGTTCTATCGCTGTAATTTAGGGGAAAGTAGAAAGTCCAAAACTTTTTTCTGTCGATCCTACTTCCCTGAATATCAGTAGATTTACAGTAGGTATTCCTAACACCTATATTACAAGAATATCAGCTTAATCGGTAACTGCATGATAAAGGATTTCTGGAGGTGTAACGACAAGCCTTAATCAGTGGGCATTATCGACAGCATTACTTTATCTTCTAAACGGAAAGGTGCCCGACTACAGCAGTGATGGACTTTAATCAAGCAGAAATTTGAGAATTAAGGAACCTACATCTTTGGACAAGAAAACCGTGTCGCCTTTAAGGTCGTATTCATTTTCCAGTTCAGTGTTTTGCATGACTGAGCTGGTTAGCTGTAACTACCTTTTTTATCCAGGTCATAATCCAGAAAATATACTTCATAAAGAGCTAAATCTGCGCATTTTTTTGAAAACTAGAAATTCGGAACCTCATCAACTGTAGTGGTAGTTTGCGCATTGGCTGCAGATACAATTTCAAGCTCAGTCGCATCGATCTCCGCAAAATCCTAAAGTCATTTTCAATGTTGTTTTTAGCACTTTTTTTTCGTTTACCTTCAGTGTTTGAATATCCAATAACAAAATCTAATCTTTTAATCTATTCCGTAGCTTTTGCAGACTGGTCCAGAGCATAATAAATATTGATCGCCAACTTGGACATTCAACTTATCATAAGCATTCACAGTCTTAACAGTGAATGAATGAACTAACGATATCAGTTGCAGATGGTATTTTTGGCTCACTGTTTTGCATCTGAGAGGAAATCTTCATATCTTCATACATTACTTCCTTGTTTCCCGCTGCTTTTTGCTGTGGAAAGTCAGTCGCGCTGGACTGAAAAGGGAAACAAGGTAAGTCATGCCGAATTTTGCAAGTTGTTAATAACTATTTTTATTGTCTGATATGATCGTGAGACGTACGCCACATGATTTTACGTACAGACTACACTATGTGTGTCATCTGTTGGAGAATATTTGATGACTTCTTCAGAATCCTTACATCACTCTGTAATATCATATTTAACGTTATTGTCAGCCGAGCTTTTGGCAGTTCATAGTAAAAAGGGAAGACAATGTAAAGCTAATTAAAACTATAACTGCTTCCTACTAGAATTTTTTAAAAAAAAATCGTGAAATTCTACAAACGCACCATGTATCCTCCAATTGGTGTATGACAAATTTCCATCTCACGATACTGAAATTTCGAAACTTTCAATACAGCAGAAAAAAATGAGATGCAAATACAATAGCGGACATTCTAAAGGGTAACTTTAAAGGAAAATTCTAGAAAACGTATGTGACAACGGCACTAGTAAAAAAAGGAAGGGAAGAAGCTGGTCACACCAAATTCCTGCAATTTCAATCACAAAATTTTTTTAATGAAATAATAACATTTCCACGACCGCGACATCCACTACCATTTTCACGCTGGCAGTTGTTACATCTGCAGTCGTGTTCTTCGCAACCATCAAAATCCTGAATATTCGCCAAAGTTATTCGGACGTGATAATTAGAATTTCTCAAACAGAAATACAAAAGTTTGGAAGGTTTAGAATTTCCGGTGGATGAAATATATTGAAATATATATGAAATATATTCCGAAATTTTTAGATAAATGAAAAAGAAACTAAACAATACTGAATTCAAATTTGCCATTGTATTGAAAGTTATGTTTGAATAAAATCTACTTAATTTAAAAATTGACAAAAAAGCTTACACAATCACGTCTCCCACCCATTTTGAAATTTTCCGCGGGAGCGAATGAACGAATATCACTGAAAGAAGATTAACAGGAAGAAAATTTCATCCTCTCCACTCACCGCATCTCACAAACTCATCCTTTTCACTATCCGATATACCAGATTTCCTACAAATCTACTGTTTCACTCCCCGGAAGGACCTATCCCATGGGAAAATCACGGAATGCACACTCAACCGCATCGTCACAGGAACACAATGGAAGCCTAAAAAATGCAATATCTCTCAGCAGAGATTGGAATGGATGAGCCTACGTGATTTATGCAAAAACTGTCTACGCGATTTATGCGAAAAGCACACTCTTCGATGAATATCGCTTGTTACATGTCTGGAAGGAATGGAAATTCTCAAGCATTCTTTCCGGCATATCTCGGGATGTATATATGTGAAATCTTAGGTATTTCAGAGTGCTCGAAATCAATATTTCAATTAATGATTAAATGAGAAGTGGCAAAAAAGTTTACACGACCAGATCTACTGCGAAGAAGGAAAGTCCCTTCTCCCTCACTCACAGAAGACAAATTCGCCGGAAGGATTCCCTGGGAAACTTCAAAAAAAAAAAACTTGAGAATATATAGAGTTATTATCCTTCGCAAGAACACCGACGAGTCCAAAAATGCGTCTAATAGCAGGAATAGTTCCAGCTTATATAATTCATGCGCGAATTATTTAGATTTCAGTTAGAATTTGGAGGAACTAATCGAAGGAATTAATTGGAGTATTTGGAAAAAATAATTGGAAGTTCTAGTTTAGACTTCTCTTCTTCTAGTTTAGGCGTTCGAGATATTCCAGATCACATGCATCAGAGAGGAGTAATTTCATGAAGAGCAGTTAGTCACTAAAAATAAAGTTACCTTTCATCGTGTTCTTGTTGTGGAGCATATTTAAATCATTGTAATATTTTATTTTACTCTTGACTTCCCAATCCTTAATTCCTTTCTTTGTCAAGCATCATACAACGACCAAATTATCATCAAGAAATAAATCGATTTGAGGACTAAAAAATTCATACCTTCTGCAAATTCAAAGATCATCGCTTGTCAGCCTAATCATTTGCAAAAAAGAATGAAATATTTACTTGTGATTGCAAATGTTACAGCACCACTATTGTCGCTATAATACAGGGATGACAATGATATTATTTAGTTGTATTTACTAAAAGAGCTGAAATCGGCTGGAAAATTGATAGCCTCCGGTATTTCTGGACTTTCTAAGATTCACAACAGAGAACAGCGGACCTTTCCAGGATCAGTTCTGATCAGTCGTTATTGTGAATTTTTTATTTCTCGTTTGCTTATTCCCACAAAAATTTCGATGTGTAGTCTATTATCCTCATTAAAAAGCCAAAAATTTAACGAAGTGACAAAGTGATAGCCATTCCTTCACAAAGGATAGAATAATGAAAATACAGGGTTAAATACAAAGTAATGGCTATCAGTGGCTACCAGCTGACCAGTCATCAAATATTATAGATTTATATTCGGTCCCGAATACTTAGAAGCGTTGGAATTGGTGTAATTTTCGTCCTTCAGTTTATCATTATGAAGATTTTCAAAGTGGTGACGACGACGAAGGAATTTTCGGCATATATGATGGAAGGAATATATTCGTTACGTTTCGCTGTCCTACTGTTAACATTTATCATTCTTCTCTTTATCATCACGCAAATATGTGAAATGTTATACTCATTTATGCGCTTGACACAACAAAATGTTAGTTTTCAAAATCCTTTTTAAGTATTTTTCTTACCTTCACAATAAGCCCTTTGTGCCTGAGAGATAATAGCATACCTGGGCGAGTAACTCTGATACCTGGATGAGCAATAAAGAGGGCAGGTGAACATCAACTGAGGCAGTCATTAAACAATGATTTGAATTGGTTCTCGTGTTGCATACCAGGTTTTTCATACCACTCGTTTCTTTTTTGCCATTTCCTTCAAATTTTTTTTTGTTACATAAATGTGGCCGTAACAACTATTCAGGAAATTAAGTGAAGCTTATTTCGGTACCGTCTTGCTCTCGAGATTTTTCGTTTCAAGACTCCGCACTTATTCTGATTTGTCATCCTCAGAGTGTTGGCAGCAATATCTAAGGACAATGCCATTTCCCTCAAAGCAATAATGCTTTTCATTTGTTAAAAAAATGTAGTTAACTATAAAAATGCTTAACTAACCAAATTGGAAGGAAGGGTTTTGTAGGATTTGTAGGATACAAATTAATGAGACTTTATACAAATACCTATTTCTTTCTTTTTAGATATATTTTCATCTACTTGTATATGCCATGTCACTGTCCTAGCTCGCATGCCCTGGCAGATAAATCTTAGGAGTAAAGCGCGGGTCATTCCCAAGTATACTCGTCGATATTCTCGTAGAATAATTGCCTTGGCAAAATTTTTTTCTAACCCGTAAGCTGCTTTAGGCATTGCCGACTTTTTATTTCCAATTTTAACAGAAATTTTATGAGAAAAGAGAAAGGTATGCTATTATACAAAAGTAACCTTACCTAAAAAATCCACTGTGCAGACTAGAACGTACACCCGCATTTGTAGCATTTGCAGCAAGCGTGCGTAGAGCCCTTCCCAAAACTTTGTTCGCGAAGCCTGGCCACGATGATGATGATATACGATTTGTCGTGGTCTTCTAATGTCGTGGTCTTTTTTAAGCTGGAAAATGATGAATATGGTCCAACGGAGATCATTACGGAAAGTCCCAATAAATTTAAGAGAAAGCATTCGAGGAAAACAAGTCAGAGAAGAGAGAGGTTATCTTTTTGCCGTTCCTCCCAATACTTCAGTTGTTTTGCCTATCACAAAAGGATACTTACCTTTAATTCTTACTGAAAAACATTCAAGAACGACCAAGGAAGATGTCGCACAGATTTCATTACGCAATGAAGGAAACAGAGGAAGAAATCACCATAAAGAGATGTTTGATAAGGTAAACGTTTCTCGTTTTGCCAGCACATTTGTGCTAATTTTAAATTAGGTTTCGGAAAATTTTGAAATTTTGCTATGTTCACTTTATTGAGACGTGATATTGTAGAAATCAGTGGAAATGCTAAAATCATCACCGTTTTCCACATCCCTCATTCCATCCAATCCATCAAACTGTTTAAGAAAACAGTTAGAAAATAATTCCCTGAAGCGGAAATACTTCAGTATGTTTTTGTTCATTATCGCTATGTAACTCTTAAGTATTGAGTCACTGGTTGTTTCTCTAATTCTGAGCTGAATATTTGAAAGAGGAAATAGTTTTTAAAACGAACAAATTTTATTGCAGCTGACCCAGGAACATCTTTTTATCCTAATACTTCCGAACTTTAATTTAAAGCTATAAATTCATTATACAGCTTCTTTGCTCACCAAATTATGGTTTTAATACATTACAGCAACAAAAGAACAGTCAGCCAACAAGCTTTCAATTACAACAAGTGAAGGAATAGAAGACGAATCATTGGCAGTAATAGTCGATTTGCCTATTCAGGAAAGTAAGAAAAATCTTCAAGTTCACAGGAAGTGCCCCCAAAAAAATACAAGTAAAACCAGTATTATCAATCATTTTGTAATTCAATGCGGTCCGAGGAAAATCGTTTGGAATGTTGTTCGGTTTCTCCTAGAAATAATTTGGGTCTTTTCTTTGTAGACTACACTCCGATAACGACAGATTCGACAGTATCGTCAGGGTTTGCATTTTTTAATGACTTTTAAATATGCCCCATATTGTTGTTTTTAACCTTGTTTTGATTTCTTGCTTATAGCTTTGGCTTATCATTTTGACACATTTCAAGCAAGTCATATTGAAAGAAAATAGTGGTAAAGATTATGGCTAAAGATTGAACAGATTTATTAAGTTGATGAAATACTAAAAGTTAAAACTCAAAAAGTGTAAATAGGAGTTTTTGAATCTGTGTTCAGTAAGCTGAAAATAAATCTCAAGAGTCACAGAATGCTATTAGTCTAATTCATTGTACTATATATCCTTGGTGCTACTCTTTAAAACATAATAAACACTGCATGAAGTAATACAGTTGTGGTTACACTGCTAGCTTCTTAATATTCGTTTCAACAATACCTTGATATCGGAATTAATTTTAGAAATGAATGAAGAAGGAAGAAAACAGGATAGATGGTTAAGCAGATACACTTTGTATTTTTCTATAATCGTTTAATTATGGATATCTCATTTGTTCTTTTTTTTTCTTGATTTTCATTGCGAACGTGATGTCGATTGCGTGATTTTTTGTTTCAGAAAAACAAAAGTGAAATAAACGAAGTTTAGAAAGTTTATTAGCAAATAAATATGAAGAAACTCTTCCGTCATTCTTATTGCCAGATTTAAGAAAGTTTCTAAAATTATGAAAATGAAACATACAGACGAGCCGATAAGCCGATCTTTTTATAATTCGACGTATTTTCTCTAAAAACACTTATGAAGCCATTTGATTTTAACGGTATTAGAATGGCATGAATGTAAAAGTTGGATGGTAAATAACGCATTCATCCATGTGTTAGATGTTCCGCCGATGAATTGTGTCGATTTGTTTCTGATATGGGGTCATCCTCAAATTCGGGCAGCGATTTGTAGAGGAAGGAAAATCAGTAAGATAAACGGCGCATCTGCAGTTCATCACGCGGTCTTAAATATCACTGCTTTCACGGCTGATGCTAATTCTGTCGTTGCTTTTGTTTGCTCTGGCTACTTCTTCAGCATTCATCCTGTAAGCATCTTTTTGTTATTCAAGATAAAACTTAGTCGCAAGATGGAATTTAAAAATTTATTTTGCGTGCAGCAAAACTGATTATAGTATCAGAGCCTGTATTTACTGCGTCCAGAAAGTCTTGTGTTCTACTTTATTACCAAAAACAGTTTAGTATGCAAGGAAAAATTGTGATCTACTCTTTACATGAATTTGGTCAACTTGTTGGACTATCGTTGAAATTAAAAAATTGACATAGGCATTCTTGACCTTCTTGATAAATTGCCTTTCTTTTCCAGAGATTCACCCAAAAATGCAAGGAAATCAACTTCATATAAGAATAGAAAAGTTTGCAGTAGAGACGCACTTGAATTTATGCAACCGAGACTGAAGAAACGGTATGGTGAGTGAATAATGAAGATTTATTTATTATTATTATAATATATATTTATACATATAATACTACTGGAATTTGTTTTAAATGCTTGATGAGTTCTTTAAAATCTCGAAATCAGATATTTTCCTCAGCATGAATTTAGCATTTGAAAGTTTTCGAATTGGATGAAGACGAGAAATATGAATTTAGAACATGGTTTTTGCCTTTAACTTCTCGTTTAGTGTCAAATTATGTTAGCCATCCAGCTAACGATTCAGAAAAATAAATTTTAGAACTGTGTTGTTTCTGTGGAAAGTTAAATGTGTTATTTTTCTCAGTTCAATTACAGAGGTTATTTTAGTACTGAATAACCATAAGTGGTATACTGGGACGCTGTCCTGGTCATTTCGGGATCCATTCCACCTTTTCAAAAACGACCAGAAATTCGTCATTGTAAAGTTTGTCTCCTGCTGTTTACATTTTCATTCCATTATTCGCGAAAATCTTTTTCAAAAAACCTTCCAATTCATTAATTTATCGTGAAAAATTCTTTCATTTTCCGTGCATTAATCATAATCCTTCCTTTCCATAAAAATACTGATTCAATTCATCAATTTCTATTACTTTTAAAACTTTCTGTTTCTGGATTCATCTCAATAAGTAAACCATTACCTTTGCATCTGTTAACTTCGACATTATTTGAGCAAAGTTGAGATTTTGTGAATTAGTGATCTTATCTACCATTTTTCAAGGAGTGTTCTACGTCAGGCTTTCGAGAAGTGGTCAAAGTCATCAAGAGGCGCTCTTACATTCAAAGATTTCTCTCCAATGGATCGTACTACAGGAAGTACTGGCGCAAATCTTGATGTTCTCTTTGCTAAATATGCTCACGGTGATAAGGAATCCTTTGATGGGTTTGGTGGAGTCGTGGCACATTCAGGATATCCTGTGGAGGGTATCATCCATTTCGACGGTTCTGAATATTGGTCGATCGACGGACATAACGGGCTTGATCTTCGATACGTTCGTTTTGTTCTCTTTTTTGCTACATTGCTTTCAGTTTCAAATAAATTGACCATAGAAGAAACAAGAAGCAATCCCTTCTATTTTCTAATTTAGATCTCGAATTATGTGTAGGCCAAGCTTCTTAAATCTTGTCTTCTTTTTAGGTTGCCCTTCATGAAATTGGACACGCTCTTGGACTTCGACATTCCAACGACCCAAAAGCTATCATGCATCCATATTACAGGTTTGAAATATAATTTCAATTTTTAGATTTCTATTAACATTAACTGCTATAGATATTAAATATTTCTATTAACTGCTGTAGATATTAAACACATTACAGTGACCAACTGAAAAAAGGTTTTGAGCTTGGCGAAGACGATATTTTGGGTATCAGGAAGCTTTATGGAACTTCTTAAAAGAATGAAACATTGTGAAGTTAACGAAATCTTGGACGTTATTATTTTTTGGTAATTATTGAAAGGCGTTGAGATTCTGAGTGTTTTCTTTTACTGATAATTGAATTCTGAAAACTGATTCACATTCTCTAGTGGTTTTCAGTAATTTTTTCTTATTACTTCTATTATTTTCACAGTTATGGCAAAAAAACGATATGCAGCAGAAAACGATATGCAGGCTTTCTTCTGATCTGATCCATTATATGTGGATCTCGGTACCCTCTTCAAAAGAAATAGTAGTATATAAAAAAAGACAATACAAATTTTTGTTTTCGAAATTCGAGGAAATTAGACAGAGTGATGAGATTTGTCACTGATGTTCATTTTATGTGAAGTTCAATTCTAATTATCATTTAAAGATCGAAACTCTGTGAGACATCGCAGATATAATGTAATTTTTTTGCGAATAAACCGTACTTGTCACATGAAATCAAGCATAGTTCATTCGCTCAACAGCAATCCAGAAATTCTTGTTGTCTGAGGTACGCCATCCTATTGGGCCAAATTCACAATCACCACACATGAGGACATCCAGATCATCCACAGTTAGGAAACCGATCGTGTCAAATGCGTATTCGTTGGTTGTGAACCACCATACATCCGTTTTTTCCATCTGTTTACCTTCCATTCCACCAACACTCATTTCTTTTAATTCTTTTGGATCTTTCCCTAGAAACAGGAGATATGAAAAGGCATTCTTCAAATTGAAAATTCAAATGATGATGCTAAAAAATAGAACTTTTGGAAAGTTAATGACTTTAATTGGAATGTTAATGATTTGATAGGTTCCGGAATGATATACAATTCGTTACAAGAGAGAACAAAACACAGTTTTCATGATTGTAGCCAAAAACATTTCCTGCACGGCTTCAACGCTACTTTCAAATACTGACCACTCTGTACTGGAGAACACGAAGGCCACTTGATAAATTTTGTACAAGTCCAAATAGGTTCTCCTCACTAAAAAGAATGTAAGGGACTTGTTAGATACCTTTCAGAAACGTCACCCGTTTAGCACCAAAAACGACGCATTGACAACGACGACATAAAATTTTCTTTTTATTTCGTTGTTGATCATCTATCAAATCACTAAAGTCCTGTCTTTCATTTTTGCTACTACACTTCTGGTTAATTGCAGGTGCATTTTCCGTGAAAAGCTGAAATTTAATTTAGACATACTTCCATAAATTTCATATGAAACTTCAATTCAATCCGGCATGAATTATAGGCGCATAGAAGGATTTCCTACTTCGCCAGTGAAATCACGGTATCTCTTTAATCACCCAGCCAAACGAATAAATCCAACAATACTTACATCTTGTACGACCTCTTTCACAGGCATCGTTCCACCACTATAGGATGGATGAATTTAAAAAGACCAACGATATCTCTTTATAAGTTCATCTTGCCAGGAAATTTGCATAAATAGCTTGATTGGTTAGCATTGTCTCAGTATCCAACGAGCGCTGCTTACGACGTCCAATAATAGCATCAGCACTTCTGAGGTACGTCTCTAGAATATGTTTTGAGATTTGGTCCCATATCGCTTGCAAATCTGTTCCGTTCAGTCTCTACATGTAACAAATTGTTCACTTTGACCTGATATTTAGCTTTGGTATACGTACACTCACATTGTTCTTGTAAAGAATCCATTTTTACATGTTGACTTACTTGTTCCTGGCTTCTTTAATCATTTATTTTCTTATAAAAATCCTATGATTCTTACAAGGAAATGCTTAACGTAAAAGGTGATGGTAAATGAATGATGAGTTCAAAGTCAGCAGGTATTGCAGAGGATCAATTGTGTTGTGAATTTAATTCAGGAATGAGTTTTTTTGAAGCTCTTTGTTTGATTTGCAAGTTTATGAAATGATATCGAAAGGATAGCTGACCCTACGATTCACCTTCTAATTGGGATGGCGAAAATGAATATCACCTTGAAGTCATTCCTTTGCATAAATATACACCTGAATGTCGCATTTTTCCTTCTAAGGGTATTACCCCAGATTCTAAAATTTCAATATTAGAAGTGATCCATTAATCAAAACCACTGCTGATAATAATGGCTTCTGTCTAATTCAAGTTTTGTTTTTTTTAATGCCTTTAAAATGATTTCAAAGAGTAATGAATCAATGCGCAAAGGAAAAATCACTTGATTGGTAAGCTTGTGCATAAATGCGCTATGTGCTTTATTTAAAATAAATTATAATGACGAGAAATTGTTATGCGATATGATAAATGAACGGTTGGTAGGGATTTTGTTGGAGCAGCAGAAGTCAAATTGATTGAGTGATTCATTATTGACAATTTGCATATTATGATTGATATTTTTGCTGATAGTGGTGAATAACAGAAAATTTGACCTTCGTTTGAAACGATGACAGTCTCCCTCTTTCTTTCTATATTTTCTTTTTGTTTATATACCCTTATAAATTTTGAAATTAAAAGATTTTCCTCCTTAATTTTAGTTCTGGTTTAATGCAAAGCAACAGGAAAAGCATGTGAAATGTGCAAGGTCGGATGTTCCAATTTGTTTGTAATGATGAAACTGCAAATAATCATGATTTTGCAGTGATGAGAATTCATATGGCTCATTGTTGTTATTGCTAATCTTGATAAAAGCACTTCCACATCGAAGCACTTAATTAACGAATTGCTGTCGTACTACTGTTTAAAATGACATTGATCATACAATGCTACTTTTTGTCTGCTTCATATAACTACAAATTTTTTTCTGATTTCGATATATCAGAAAATTTTGTTGCTGATATTCTCCAACACTCTTGTTCTTTTGCATGCTTTCCCGTAATTGTGGTTTCCGGCTCCAACAGTTTTTCCTGTTGTCATTTCTTATTTCAATTTGTTTTATCCTTCAAAAATTAGAGGAGAAGTGTTGCGGTAACTACAGATAACGTTTTGTATTTCAAGTGTGCTTTTGGACTTTTGTTATCTTTAATATGAATTCTAAATTTGATATTCGGGATTGGAATTTCAGTTCATCCAACATAAAATACGTAGCAGTAATTTCAGTGTTTCCATTTCTACTTTGCGTCTTTATTCTCTTAGTTTTCATGTTTTCTCATCTCATACTGCTTTATATTTCCTTATCATTTTTTTTTCTCTCGCTTACATTGCATTTCATCCATTTCACATTTAGTAATTCGTTTCCCACTGTCGATTATCAGGTCTCTTTTGATTTTCCACTAGTGTAATCGTTATTTTTGCTGTAGTTTACTGTCTGTACTTCACATATTTGACAGAAATAAAACATTTTTGTTATCAGCAATTATGCTTTAACGACACTTTATTAGTCTTTCTTTCACTGTTTATTAAGAGAGGTAGAGATGGACTTATTTGGGAGAAGGAATGTATGCTTAAAAAAGAAAGGGAAGGATTTTTAGTTCTAAAAATAAACTAAAGTACAATAGGGACAATGAAGGCGTTTAAGCAGTCCCTCTTTAAAGTTGTTCAACATGAATGTTAAACGAATTGTACTTCTGCATTTATATCATATCTGATAGGGTGATTTTACAGCGTCAAAAGTGATTTACGTAAAATTCAGGGAAAGTTCCCTAAAAAGAGCCGAGAAATAATCTTATGCCCTTTATGGATTAGTTTGATCATTCGATTAGATCTGTAATCGTTCGTGATTGGTTATATTCTAGACTTCAGAAGGAAAGTGGATGAATCTTATAAGTAAGCCACTTATCGTAATCGACAGCCAAATATGTAAATCAGAAGATAAATGACGAGCAAATCATTACCTTGATTGACACTTGCAATGGACATTGATTGTTTGTGTACACTATTGTATGGTGAAGATCACATGTATCATTTATGGTTCATGGTTCATTTCGTTTTTGTGAAATGTGATCAGTTGGATGCAAGATGATGATCCCTTAAATCCCATGCAAAACTGTGAATTGAGGAGCAATTTTCAACATTATGTTATTATTTGATTCCATTTCATTCTTACTCGAAGCTTTAAAGTATTTCCATTAACAGCCATTGATCTCTTTCAAATTTATTTGTAATCAGTTTCCAGCGAAGGAAAAATCAAGGGAAAAGAGATTTGGCTGAGGATGACAAACTTCTCAGGATTAATAGTGAGAGCAGTTATTGATGACATAGAAGTTCCTTTCTGTCATCGTTTGGGTTTATTGAAGAATAATAAAAGGTTAAAGATAAAACAATGAATTTATTTCGCTTTTTGAGCTTGACATTTGCGACTATTTCTTGACATTAGTGCAAAGTATTACATTTTACAGGGATTCAACGATGATAATCGGGGAAGTTACTTGTTTTACAAAGTTATCGTATTCAAGTTATCGTTATCGTATTCAGGGCTGTGATTGCGCTTTGAGCGTTGATTGGTAATTTGTTTGACAAATATATTTTTTATGGGTTTCAGATTTTCTTCGTGAAAAATCGTGATTGGACAAATAACAGAGTAGAAAATTTTTCCTTTCCCATCTAAATTTTTTTGAGGAAAAACTCACTAATAGAAAATAATGAATCGAATCACTTGAGAGTTCCATTTCCTGCATACCATATTTGATTTTGCTTCTTTAATGATAAAAAAACTGATTTCCTATCTGGATCGTCACTATGTGGCTGATGAAAAAAATTATCATTCCTTGTCATCCATCTCAGTTTGAGTTATTTCCCTCGATTTGTTGCAAGCATTACAGTAATAACGCAAATGTGTAGTTATTGGATTAGAATACAATAAGTGGCTGTAGTACGAGACTGTTTCAGCAATCTTTATGTACCATAATACCACTGAAAAATGAAATTGAAATATGTTGTTTGATACAGAAATGTTCAGACTTCTGAGCATTATCGAAAACAGGGAAATATCGGGTAAGAAGTGATGAAGAAGATATCATAGATGTCAACGTTGAAGATGTTACATAAACGAGAAAATCCCCTTTTCTCCTACTGTTTTAATTATTTTTGTTCCTTCACTTTTTCCAAACATTTTTTAGCATCAATCCAATGGGAACAAAATATATAAAAAGAGTTTAGTATCTGGTAGAGAAGATTCCTTGTTCAATGTAATATTCCCGATGTTATCCCTCGCTTCACTGGAAAATCCATTATGAACGCATGAAGATTTTTTTGTTTTTTTAGACAAGGAAATGCTCGAGTGGAATTCAAATATTAGAAGTAGTTCATTTGTCATGTTGAAGAAAAGAAACGCTGAAATCCAGTGACGTGTCATCAGTTGTGAAATGCCAATTTAACTCTTTGTCGGGATTTCATGGTGGGCTGTGTGAAAGTGTGCTTTCGATGTTTGAGTGACTTAGAGGTCTTAATGTGTTTGTGTTCCTTGGGATTGTGGGTTATTTGAACTTTAGATAGGATGTGCAAAGAGTAGGTTAAGTGAGGTCAGAATTTGATTAGAATGTGATTCCTGGATTGTTGGATGTTGATGAACTCACCTTCAAATGTTGCATTCTGCTTGCTGCAATAACTGCAGGCATTTCATCATTCGTTGTGTTTTATTTGAGATGATGGGCATATTTGGACGGGAAAAAAAGGTCGACACGAAGGAAGCCGTTCGTGAACTGCAGCGGAAAATGCGAGCTGAATTGCGACAGCTCGATCGTCAGATCCATGCCATTGAACGGGAAGAAGCGAAGGTTGCTTTGTTGATTAAACGTTGTAAGAAGTTCTTGTCAAGTCCTGTTTAAGCATCGCTTGGATTTTTTCAGACTTAGACCACTTATTCCTTGTAAAGACTCAATCATTCAGGTCTAAAAGATTAATTACAGGTCAAAAGGCAGATAAAGGAATCAGCGAAGAAAGGTGACCGAGATGTATGTATCGTGCTTGCAAAGTCTATTTTACAGTCAAGAAAAGTATGTTATATTATTAGTTTGAGTCCTGAAGGTAGTAGTTCGTGTCATCAGTCCACTCAAATTACTTCCAGATATAAATTTAAAGATTAATTGATCACTAAGATAGTAGAACTCACTAAGTGAGTATGGTCAGCTCAACTGAACGACAATATAGCATTGGTCGTCTGAGCTTCTTCGATGATTTTCCTGTTCGTCCATGCGATTTTCCATAGGAATAAATTTCTGATCGTTGGGATGATGCATTAAACATTGAAAACGCTCTTATCGAGATTTATAAAATAGAACATTATATTTAACCACTTAAATATATTGTAGCTCAATTTTTCAATTTTCCGAATTTATTCGGTTGAAAATTTCTTTTAAGGCAGTATCGAAAATCCATGGAACAAAAGCACAAATCAATTCCGTTGTTATGGGGATGCAGCAGCAGCTTGCAACAGTTCGTATGGCGGGCTCGTTGCAACAATCTACGGAAGTAATGAAAAATATGCAGCAATTAGTGAAGGTTTATTTTTGAAAAAACAAAGCTGAGACGGGATAAAAGATAGGTATAATTAAAGTAGGCAGTCTGGGGAGTCTTAAAATCGACTCGACGGTAAAGGGTTGCTGAGCTTTCCCGAACTTGCTAATTTATTATTTGCAAATTTTGGGCCTCCTTATTATCATTTAAGAATGGCAAACCACAGGAGATAAGTTGGGAGTCATATTAGACAGAATATGTATAACAATAAATATAAATTATATCACATTTTATTAATTTAAGGTGCCTGAAATAATGTCCACAATGCGTGAACTTTCGAAAGAGATGATGAAAATAGGTATTATAGATGAAATGATTGAGGAAACCATGGAATCCGTAGAACCAGAGGAGCTTGAAGAGGAGGCGCAGGTATTATTATATTTTTGAATGTACAATAAGCGGTGTTCATCAGGAATTTCAGAATTTGTGTTGTACTTGAGTTATACTTGTGAACTTTTACAACAGAATTTACCTACCTCCCTTTACTGCAGAAATTATTAAGGTTCTCTGGTTCTTCCATACTTCTATCGGATGAAAGGAGGAGTAATAATGCAACTTCATACCAGACGATCTGTTACATTAAGAGAAAAAAAGTTTGCAAGATTATTTGCGAAAACTTTCCATTATATTTTTTTGATTTTTGCATAGTCTGCGAGTGCACTTCTCACTTGCAACAAATTTCAAAGATTTTTACAGGAAGAAGTAGATCGGATACTGTATGAAATTACAGCCGGTGAATTGGGTAAAGCACCATCTGCTGTCAAGGACACACTTGCAGTGGAATCAGAAAGCATGCTGGAGGGTATTGAGGGACATGCCGTTGACTATGATGAGATGCGTGCTAGGTTAGAGTTTCTCAAAAACTGATGGGGAAAATTAGAGTAAACTTCTCGCTATATGAATTGTAATGTTAAACTTCCGCTTCCTATTGCTGTCTTTTAAGAATTGATGTACAATATGGATTTTTGAAAAAAGTGCAAGGCTGTGGTTATTTGATTTAAAAAGTTGGTGTTCTGGCTCAAAAAACAAAAAAAAGTTCTTTTCAGATGCTGGTCGGGTAATGACAATATATATATATATATATATATATATATATATATATATATATATATATATATATATATATATATATATATATATATATATATATATATATATATATATATATATATATAT